TTTTGTTTTTATTTATGCGAGTCATAGCCATCGCATATAACCAGTCTGTTGTCGGTTCTGTGAACTACTTTTAGTTTTACAGAGGAATTCAATTACATTAGATGAGCATAGAAAAGTCAGAAATAAAGTAATGTTTATTCTGCTTTACTTTTGAATTCATCTTTGATGGTTTTTCTGAAAAATGCTTTTGTAAATATCAACATAGTCTTCTTGCACAATTAACTAGTATGTAAGTGATACTGAATTTGTTTATATTTTAATTATGTAAATTATGGAGCAGTACCGAATCCAATAAATGTCCAATCGATTGATCTTTTCCATGTTGTTTTTCGGCAGCAAACAATAGGAAGCGTGCACGTTGACTGGGAATTAATAATTTATCAAATTCATTTAATAGTTGTACACGATTGTCAAATTCACATTGTTCATATTCACGTAATTTCCTTAAGTGTTCATCTATTTTATTTTCATCACCATGTTCACATGCAGATTTTAAATCACTCATCGTTTTGATATTATTTTCTTTTTGTTTTATTAATTCATCATGTCGTTTTAAAGACAACTTTTCAATCTATGCAAAAACAGAAAATTAAAATATAAGGGTCCTATCTCAAAACGATAGAAGTGTGATATCATATACTTCACTTTACGGCCTATCTTCTACAAATATTTTATTCTCCACGTTCGTTTCTTATAGCTTTTATTTGGTGGAGGTCACTACCATCCGTCCACTAAAATAGTGGTCGTGGCTCATTTTTAGATAATTCGAGAACGGTAAGAGACAGAAAGTTGTGGTTTTCGTCATTTTGTAGAGGAGAATTTACTCTATCGATTAATCTATGGGGGCTTTGGAAACCTTGGATTTGCAGGTGGTGTACTTCATAAGCCTTCGAAAGGTTTTGAACAAGTTCATTTATAACGGCATTAATTTCTTCCTATTTTCTCTTGGCCCTATTCAGACACTACTTCTGTTCATTTGCTACGTAAAGAAGAAGCTGGCGTCACCAGCCCTCGTCGTCAATAAATGAATGTTTTATTTGACAAGTTCATTTATACCGTCATCGTTACCGCCCATTTTCGCTTTTCTCTATTCAGTTGCTGCTTCTCCTCAGCACTTATGGAAACGAGAAACTCGCTTCACCTACGCTCACCGTCAATAGACGAATGTTTTAAGTGTTTGTTTTCTTAAGTTCTTTAGTGATCTCTACGTTTAAAGTATGCAAAAGATAGTGTAGGATGTCCTGTACAAATAAGTGCAAGGTTGACCTTTCAACCTGTCATGATCTCAGACGGCAAACATTTGGCTGAAATCTACTTAGTTTTGTCGCGTTCCGTAACCTCAGAAATAACTGAAAACATAGATTATCGACTTCCCTTAAGAGACGTCTTATAGCTCTATCAATGAAAAGAATCGACCATAGCTAGTACCAAAGTGCTAATCATCATTTATCTGTAAAGTGAGGATCCCGCAAGAAAAGATAATTTGTTGCGAATCAGACAACACTTTAGAGGCAAAAGTTAAAATGAATGCAAATCTCACTTGTGGTATTTGGTCCTCAGTAATTTTGAGATTTCCAGCTTTTTCTGTTAAACTAATAATATCAAAATGTGCCATTTGTTTTAATTTGTTGAAGTGAATGCAGATCAGTGGTGTGACAATCGTTGATTATTTTTATGATTATCAACAAGGAAAAGAGAAGGGATGAAGCAGGGTTTTTTCTATTGGAAAAAAACCCAATAGATATCAGTCATATGTTAATCAGTTACACAATTTTTCAGGGTTTTTTGGAATAAAGAACAAAGAAAGTTCGTACTTCCTTTATTTACTCAATAAATAACACACCTTCAACTTGCAGTAGTATATATAGGATACAGTAAAAGCTGTTATCATTATTCGTTTCAAACACAAACACACACACAGCACAAGAACTTATTCGATACAGAAACAGCAAAATGTCTGAAGCAAAGAATATATCTCTAACAGAAGAACAGAGATCCCATGTAAGTCCACATGAATTTTCTCACTCAGTTTCCATGTTCTTGCTGCTCTGTTATTATATTTAGAAAGAAGGAATAGCACAAGACTATCATAATACAACAAAAAAAATCAAGGAAAATTCAGTTAAAGTAATTGACGAGATAAAAACAGCTGCAGACAATGGAAACGAAACTAAAATTGAAGAACATTGGCATAAATATCGTGAATATGTTAAACAAGAAAATGAAGTGCGTGAAACGTTTTTGGATGAATTCGAGAAAAAATTCATTGCAAGTCAACGTGCTCGTCTAGTGTTGGCTGCTAACGAAAGTCAGGGTAGAGGAGAATCAAGAAATCAATCCGCTGGCTGTTTATTGGATACAGTTTTATTGGACGATAAATAGTAAAGAGCCACACAGCCTTTTCCATGTTCCTGATTGTAGCTTCGGCGAACAAAACTGGAAGGCTTGAAAAGAAATATACTTGTTCAGTCTATTTTAATTTTACTGTTATATTTCGTGCTATCGAGAATAAAATGTTACACAAGCAAATTTGAGGATGACGGTGAGGATTAAAATCTTGATACAAGGCGCGGCGGGCATTTTCAATAGCTGAGGATGCCGCGGAACACTGATACACATATAAATCTTTTATCTTACGCTACGAATTTCGGACCTTGTTCTGAGATAAGAATTATTACAAATTTCTTAACTTCTTCGAATTTATTGAGGGTTTTGATTGATTTAATAATAGATTGTAAACACGCCAGATGAAGAGCCTTAAGCAGTGTCGAAACGCATCGCGTGAAACTTTCAATCTCTTGTCGCATTTTCTATTATTGTTTGTTCAAAACACTCATGACTGATCCAATGTAGTTTTAATTGATTCTAAACATACCTGATGATGACTTCTAGCAAAAGTCGAAGCATGTCGTATGAATTAGCTCGAATCAATCTCATCTATAAATTCACGCTCATTCTCACCCCCTCAACAAGAGCTCTGTTTTGCTATTTCGGAAGGTGATCTTGTTTCTAATAGAAGAACATGTCCTCGTGCAGTAATACAAAAGAAAGGTTTTCAGTTACTACTGTCCTGATGTATACAGAATATTTCGATGAATCGACGTGCAGTTCTTTTAGAACTGGAGTAGAGACTGAGGTAGCTCAAATAATAGAGCAACCGACCGGTAATTGGGAGATGATCGTTCCCTAGCCCAAAGTCGCTGAACTTTCTTAGTGAATCTTTCATATTCACTAAGACATGTCATGGCTTTCACTTGTATTTCACCGATCTAGAAGCCTTCAAAGGCACATATGAAACCAAAAGAAAATACGTACTTACCATAGGCGCAAACTTTTTTTGTATATACCCGAATCATTATTCCTGCTCGCAAAGAGTTGATTAATTTGTAAGGTATTTATATTTTATTCACTCTTAATGGAAAGATATTTAAGATAATGTCTCTCTACACTTCTTTTAAAGAAAATGTCGCTCTACATTTTCCCAGTAACATTCAACTTTCTCGCAATTGAAATGACATTCTGGCTTGATATTTTTCGAAGCTGTTCTACTTAATGAATATAAAAAATCGACAAAGTTTTACTGAAAACTGTTGTCGACGCATCGAGATACGAAATAACAAAAATCAAGATTGTCGCTCTACATTTATCATGCAAAGCATCATTTTCGATTTTCTTTGAAGTTTGTTATTTCACCATGTTAAGAATAAAGATTTTCTCTTGCGTCGTAATTCAATCCTAATACCCTTCTTCTTATTTCACTAAACAAACAGATTTTTAATGTGAATTTAAATTAGGTCAAGAGTTTTTATGTCGTTCTACAAAAAATCCCAAAGTGTTACTAAACGGCGTGTTCCTGGTAATTCAGCAGAAAAGTTGTCAGGAGTCTCATATCGAAGTAAATATTCTGAAAGAGGGAAAATTATGTTACAATTTAGTTATCTAAATTTAATTTAAAACCTGAAAGGAACTTGAGAAAAAAAGATTTTTGTTTGCTTGATGTCGTTAAAATACGGATTTTTCACATTATCAGCAGAGTCTCCGTGCAACTGCAAGAGATAAAAACTTCGTTTTTCCAGACAGAGTGGGGATACTATTAGGAAGTAAAACAAAAACAAAATTATTAGAATCGCTTAAGTACGAATCGAGTTATAACTAATTTTCTTTCTCGGATCTCGCGGTACAATGGCTAGGTATTCACCGGTATCGGTATACCGACTACCGACTTTTTTTATTACGAGTTTTTTAGATTTATTTCATCTGAAATGGCATAGTTTAGCTTCCTATATGTAATATTTCGATTATCTTCCATTTTCTTCAGCACCTCGTCGTTGAGCGGCTATGTGCTGTTCGTGAACGAATCAATCAGGAATGGACGATATCCTTGATCTAGATGACAAGAAAAATTAATCGCTATACCTACCACGGATAACATATGCAAATATCTCATGCATAAGCGGAATCTGTGCCATTTTACCTTCCGGTCAAGTACTTTGGCAGATGTTGCAGCTGTAAGTGTATTTAAGGCTGATTTGAGAAAAACAATTTCTTAACTTCTTCGAATTATGTATGTAAAACAGAAGTAAAAATGGTTAAAAGGCTGCTTTTATCCATATGAATGTGTATAATCAGTTATGATCCAAACGGATCATGAGTGCTGTGATTGAAACGGATCCAAAACGGTCCGTTCTGGTGACAGATTTATCACCATAATGACAGCAATTATTGAGGTTAATTCAGATTTAATACAAGGAAATTTTTCCAATCTGATGGCTCTCGCCCTATAGGAATGGTATGCACACTATGGAGAGAGATATAGCAAGAAATGGAGAAAAAAGAACAAATTTTATCGTTTTATCCAAAAGAAAGATTCCTTCGCTAGGAAATTCGCGTTTATTCTAGTAACTTTCCAGATTAAAAAGTTAACAAATTTGAAAGTATCCTTCTCCAGTTTTTCTGCCAGTTTGTAGTACACAGCTTGTACTCTATAACATGCTATTTTTTAGAAAAAGGTTTATTTCTGACTTTTCTATGCTCATCTAATGTAATTGAATTCCTCTGTAAAACTAAAAGTAGTTCACAGAACCGACAACAGACTGGTTATATGCGATGGCTATGACTCGCATAAATAAAAACAAAA